ACTTAACAGTAGGTTGTTCATAAATCTATTATACTTATTTCTTTTTCTTTTTTTCTTTTTTTTGTTCCTTGGGTGTTATGTTTAACTCCTTGAATATCACATCTTTGAATGTCAGAGGTATTAGGGACATAAGTAAAAGAAAAGCAATCTTTTTGTTCTGCAAAAGAATGGAATCAGATTTAATACTACTCCAAGAAACTCACTCCTGTGAACTGGATACAAAATTCTGGAAGTCACAATGGGGTAATACAGTTTACTTCAGTCATGGGACTAATCACTCAGCAGGAGTATTAATACTATTACATAAAATTAAAGGGGACATTTTAGAAACAGTGCCTTCTGAAAATGGTAGATGTATAACATTAATAATTAAACAAGACAATGCCACCTTTATTGTTTGCAATTTATATGGATTTAATTCACATGTTTTAAACAAGATATTACTGAACCAAATAATACTAAAATTGAAAGAGTTACTGAATAAATACCAAAGCTCAACTATAAATTTATGCGGTGACTTTAATGTACTGTATGTCCGAACGAATCAATTGATAGATACCCACCCAAACAGAATATTAATGTACAAAATAATCTTATCTCTTCACTATGTTCTAGCCTTTCCTTGACTGATGTTTGGCGTTTTTTTAACCCCTCTAGTGAAGGATATACGTGGTGTAATAATAATCAATCCCTAAAATCAACTATTGATTTATTTTTGATATCATCCTCTTCCCTACAATATGTAAAGGATATTAACCATCTTAACGCCCCTTTTTCTGATCATAAACTGATTGATTTGAAATTGGCTACAATCCAGAGGACCTCCGGTATAAGAGGTTACTGGAAATTCAACAATTCTCTTTTAAAAGACACATTGTTCAATAACACAATCCAAAACCTCGTAAAAGAAATGTTCAATAATGGAATAAATGAACAATACAGGAAGAAATGGGAATTATTCAAATATAAAGCCAGGTTTGCTGCTATTAAAAGTAAAGAATTAAAGAATGAAAAGCTCAAGCTAGAGACTGACTTAATACACAAGCTTGACTGCTTGATGACAAAAAAAACAACTCACCTCAGAGGAAGAACTTGAAATAAAAAATATCCAATTGAAACTAGATTAATTTTACTTAGATTTGGAAAAGGGTTCCTTCATTAGATCTAGAGCCAAGTGGCTAGAGGAGGGTGAAAAGAATACTAGTTTTTTTTTTGCTCTGGAGAAAAGAAATGCTAAAAGAAAATCCTTAAAGGGATAGCTAGGAGCTAGGCGGAGGGAGACATGCATCTGGCTGTTGTTGAGCT